GTCTTCGCTCCTCCGACGATCAAGCCATATCGCTCGACTGTATCGGCCTGGCGTGAACGCCGCATCGAGATCTGCCCTTCAACTCCGGAGGCCAGCGCCCGTTCCCCAATGCTTGTTCGCGCAGCAGAGAACAAGAGGCTTTCGGTTCTCCTCGCCCAAAGAGCCAAAGAATAGTGAGAAAGATGATAATGTGGCAAAGAAGTCCAAAGGGGGCGAGGAACAGCAGCCACAGGCAAACTCAGACGGAGAGGTGAAGCCTGGGCAGCCCGAGTCAAAAGCGAGCGAGGAACAACAACCACAGGCAAAGTCGGATGAAGAGGCGAAACCTGAGCAGCCCGAGTCAAAAGCGGGCGAGGAACAACAGCCACCGACAAACCCAGATGGAGAGGCGAAGCCTGAGCAGCCCATGTCCAAGCTGACCGAAGAAGAGGAAAAACAGTTGAATAAGCTCATGGCCTTCATGTCAATAGGGATGCCCAAGTCGCAAAAGCCGTTCCTACAAGCTACCATAGACCAGCTCAAGAAGGAAGGCATTCCGCAAGAACTTCGGGAGCAGATGCACAAATTGGAACGTGGCGAGAAGCTGGACCTTGGCGAAGTTGCGAAGCTATCTCGAATGACCAACCAATTCGCGCGAAAAACCGTGGAGAAGCAGACCATGTTCCAGCAAGCTACTCCGGACAAACAGAAGCAAAAGTCAGAAGGGCAGAAACAGCAGCAGGGCCCTTCGCTGCCCCAGCAGATGGACTTTGGCGCCTATATGATTACCGCATTCGTGTCTTGGCTCCTCTACCGAATGTTCGTGCCCGGCGAGAACACCAAGGAGATCACATGGCAGGAGTTCCGAACAACCTTTTTGGAAAAGGGCCTGGTAGAGAAGGTTGTCATACTCAATGGCAACAAGGCGAAGGCCCATCTCCACCGGGAATCAGTTGCCTCGATATACCCAGATTCGCCTGCTGCTACTCAAAACTTTTACTACTATTTCACCATTGGCTCGGTCGAGGCTTTCGAGAGGAAGATGGAAGCTGCCCAAAACGAGCTCGGCATCCCCAGCTCAGAACGTATCCCAGTTTCGTACGCCAACGAGATTTCGTGGTTTGGTACCCTCATGTCCTTTGGCCCGACTCTGCTTCTTCTGGGCTCGCTTTTCTACTTCACGAGGCGTGCTGGAGGTGCCGGCGGTGGCGGCGGCGGCGGCGGCGGCATCTTCGGCATGGGCAAGAGCCGGGCAAAGAAGTTCAATCACGAGACTGAGATCAAGGTCAAGTTTGCAGATGTCGCTGGAATGGACGAAGCCAAGGTAGAGATTATGGAGTTTGTCTCTTTCCTCAAGCAACCAGAGCGCTTCCAAAAACTCGGCGCCAAGATTCCCCGTGGTGCCATTCTTTCAGGACCTCCCGGTACCGGTAAGACTCTGCTAGCAAAGGCGACTGCTGGAGAGTCTGGCGTGCCGTTCTTCAGTGTCAGCGGTTCTGAGTTTGTGGAGATGTTTGTCGGTGTGGGTGCGTCTCGTGTGCGAGATTTGTTCGCCAATGCGCGGAAAAGCACGCCCTGCATCATCTTCATCGACGAAATCGACGCCATTGGCCGATCCCGATCAAAACAAGGCTGGGGCGGTGGCAACGACGAAAGAGAGGCAACACTAAATCAGATTCTGACAGAAATGGACGGTTTCAATACCACCGAGCAGGTGGTCGTTCTCGCCGGTACCAATCGAGCCGATGTCCTCGACAAGGCTTTGATGCGACCCGGTCGGTTCGACAGACATATTACCATTGACCGGCCTACCATGGAAGGCCGAGCACACATTTTTGCAGTCCATCTGAAAAAGATTGTCACCCATGAAGACATGGAGTTCCTCCAGGGCAGGCTGGCGGCATTAACCCCTGGCTTTTCTGGGGCTGACATTGCAAACTGCGTCAACGAGGCCGCCTTGATTGGTGAGTATTCAGTGTGCTGAGTTGTCGGATCTGCAGCTAACATAGTCACAGCCGCTCGTGTCATGGCTGAATCGGTCACTATGGGCCACTTTGAACAAGCGATTGAGCGTGTCATTGGCGGCCTGGAGAAAAAGTCCCTGGTGCTCAAACCCGAAGAGAAAAAAACGGTCGCATACCACGAAGCGGGCCACGCGATTTGCGGGTGGTACTTCAAGTATGCCGACCCACTTCTAAAGGTTTCAATCATCCCCCGCGGCCAAGGAGCACTGGGATACGCCCAGTATCTGCCAGCGGGAGATACCTACCTCATGAATGTCAATCAGCTCATGGATCGAATGGCAATGACTCTTGGTGGACGTGTCAGCGAGGAATTACATTTCGACACGGTGACATCAGGTGCGTCGGACGACTTCCGCAAGGTCACTCAGATGGCCACAGCAATGGTCACGAAATGGGGAATGACAAAGAAGATTGGATACATTTACTTTGAAGACGACAACCAGAACCAGCTACAGAAGCCGTTCTCGGAAGAAACGGCCAAAAACATCGACTCGGAAGTCAAGCGCATTGTTGACGAAGCATACCAGCAGTGCAAGGATCTTCTGACGGAAAAGAAGCGTGAAGTGGGCCTCGTTGCCGAGGAGCTCCTGAAGAAAGAGATGCTGGGCCGCGAAGACATGATTCGCATCCTGGGCCCCCGCCCCTTTGAAGACCCGCAAGACTTCCACAAGTACTTTGGCGGCGCGCACGGCAAAGTACCCGGCCTCATCGAGCCAGCGGGCGACAAGGGTGTGAAGGGCCCCATCGTCCCGCCTGCGCCCACGCCCACATTCAACCCCCTGGATTTCGAGACGAGGAGGCAGTGGTGGCGACAGTAGACGTACAAATCTCCTTTTTTCTTTTTTTCCCGTTTTTTCACCCAGCGCGAGAAGGCATTTGAAAAGTGTAAATCATCGGCATGGTTCTTGGTGTCTTCGTCTTGGCATATGAATTCGGGTTCGGGTCCTTTTCCACTCTTGGACTACTGGAGGGACGCGGGAGCGGAAAGAGAGAGGGGAGAGCGGGAGGAGCGCTTTGTATTATACGATAGATTGCTCCCAGCCCCATTACTTCGTCTGTATAGTAGAGCGCTTCGGTGCGTGTGTAAATGCTATTGTTTACCTTTGCCTGGGCTGGGTGTGGTCGAGATGGAGAAAAAGGCTTGTGCTTGTGCTGGTTATGTAAGGGCGCGGCGTTGGTTCGTCAGCCTGACTATTGCGGCTGGATAATGGTTTGATTGGCTGGTAGCCCGCGGTCTGCAATGGGAAAGAGGTGGGACCTGTTTTGGTATAGAGCATATGCTTCCCTTCCCTTCCCTCTCTCTCTCTCTCTCTCGTAGACCAGCACGTCTTTCCATCCTCGTCGTGTGATCCCATCTCTTACCGACTTTTCTTTCCTATATCCAGCATGGAGGAGCACGCGCCAAGCAAATCCGAACACAACGTCACGGCGACGGGGACTGAGTCGAATTCAAGCCAGACTGTTCCTCCTACAATTCCTCCTCCCCATCTCTATGCGCATTCCTTCTTCTCGACTACGGCGCGCCCGATTCGCAGGTCTTTGCTTAGCGGGCTGGTGGTGCCGGTTTTTCTGAATGGACTATTGATGTGGGCGTGTCTGGCGCTGTTCTTTGGGTCGTTGCTTAAGACGAACGATGTTCGGAAGATTGGGGTCTCGGTTGTGAATTTGGATGATGGGTTTGTGGGGGAGGGGGTGGTGGAGGGGGTAAGGGGGAGTTTGAATGGGGCGGGGCCGCATTTGAGGTGGAGGTTTGGGGGTGGGGATGCTAGGGAGATTGTTGTTGATGAGAAGGATTGGGCTGTGGTTGAAGGTATGTTGTGTGATTGAATGGGGGAATGGTGACGCTGAGGGTGGTGTAGTGTCTGCGGATGCGTCGGCGAATTTGATGGAGGCGCTGCAACAGGGCAACGAGACGTACAATCCGCTCTCGGCGGTCACGCTATTCTTTGCTTCGGCACGGAATCAGGTCCTCACGGGCTCAGTCGCCATTCCTGCAATCATGGGCACCGTCAACCCGATCCTCGCGCAGATTGCAGCCAACTCAACAGCCACATATCTCGCCTCCATCGCAAACGACACCTCAGCCCTAACTCGAGCTCTCCGCTGCCCGCAATGCCTCTCCAGCCCCCTGGCCATCCAATCCGTAGACCTCATCCCCTTCAACAACCCCCAAGCCTTCGGCCTCCTCAACACAGGCTGCATCTTCGTACGCCCCCCTCTCCCTCCCTAGTTTCCCTCTAACACACCCAGCTCCTAACCTTCACCTTCAACGTCTTCATCATCCTGCGCGGCACCGCCGAAACCTACGGCCACATCCTGTCCCTCCCCTCACACCTCGCCTTCCGCACCCTCGCGTCTAGTACCTCGTACCTGTTCCTCTCCCTCACCTACACCCTCATCATCCTCGCCTTCAGCGTGCCCCTCACAGCGCACTTCTCTTCGCGTGGCGCGGGATTCATGGTCCTGTGGATGCTGAACTGGTTCACGATGGGGGCGTGCGGGCTGGTTATGGAGGCGGTGGATACTGTGATTGGCATGCAGTGGGCGCCGTTCTTCCTCAATGTGTGGTTGATTGTGAATGCGAGTGCTGGGTTCGGCGCGTTTGAGATGATGGTCGGGTTTTATGAGTATGGCTGGGCGACGCCGTTTGTGCATTGTATTCAAGCGTCGAGGACGATTGTATTTGGGACGAAGAGTCATTTGGGGTTGAATTTTGGGGTGTTGGCGGCGTGGATTGTGGGCGGGTTGGTGGGGGTGTATGGGGTTACGTGGTGGAAGGTGAGGGAGGGGTTGAGGAAGGGGAGGCATATGGTTTCATAGGGGTGGGTGGATGTGTATGTGGGAGGTGAGCTGTCGATCATTTTCTTGACATGTCTCTAAGGTTAGTATGTTGTTAAAGTAGATTGGTATAGCCATTGTAATATTATTGAATGAAGCATGAGGTCTTAAAACATATACAGATTACGGTAACTAATAAAAGCAAAAAAGAAATGTATTTGAAGGATGAGAGGATCGAACTCTCGCTGTCCCGTCATTGTCCCTTGTAAAACCGCTCTTCGAGTCCTTACATAGTGTAAGGCTGGGCTCGAGATTGGAAATTCGGTGACGGCGGCGCTCTACCACTGAGCTAATCCTTCATATCATGTTATTTGGTAGTATACAGTGTTTGGGTATTTAAATAGCACGAGAAAATTTGGTTGCTGTGAGCATTTGGTTGCTGTGGGCGAAGGCGCGTGACGTAATCGCAGGTGAAAGCGCGTTGCGCAGAGACGAAGCGCGTAGGCCTCTGCGACGAAGATGAAAACAAAGCCGAGTCAGAGAACCTTGAGATGGCTCGCACCAGCTCTACGACTGCAATAGCCATATTCCCAACGCAAGGCAGAGTAACTTGGCACTCATTGACGGCGTCAAAAGGCTAGAGAGACCGACTTGGCTTGATATGCGAAGGGAGGAGGCACAGGGCTTGTCCATGACGACTCTAGGACCTGAGAAGAGATGTCGCGATGAGTGTGCTATGTGCCCCGAGAACCTCACGAAGCTTTGTGAAATGGAGTGTTGTGCACATTCATACAGATATTTTACATCCAGAAAACACGAGGCTGAGGTCAGCACTAAGAAAACTGGTTCTTTCAAACACTAATTCGCGCCTTGGTACAGGGATTATAGCAACGTGATGCGACAGTTTGACCCGCATATCTGATTATGTGCGGTGTCAATGGACCTCATTGCAATTTTGGCGAACTCAATGAGGAGAAGACGAGCTAGTGAGAGCAGAAACCAGAGGTCGTATTCGGATTTGAATTGAACATGAAACAGCCAACCTATTGATACAAATATAATCAAGCATGTCTAGTGCCACACGACCTCTCAGTCATCCTGTATGTTCGAGTGGTGTGGTTCTCTATCCATGTGCCTCTGCGTCGATCCATGCAATGCTTTAAAGCAATTGAACCCAGAACGCCATGCTGAATGCAATACATCGCCTCCATGTATATAATACAAGTCTTGATACACCCATGCCACTCACGTCCCTCGTGTCTTCTATCATTTCGTCTCCTTCTCTAGCAACTCCTTCGCCTCATTGACCTTTGTCGCCAAATACGGGCTCCCGCCTCGATCAGGATGGTTCAGCAACATGAGCTGTCGGTGCTTCTTCCGTAGCAGTTCTTTCGTCACGCCGCGTTCCCTATGCCAATTAGCGGCCGCTTCCTAATTACGATCTCCTGTATGCGACCGAGTGAAACGACTGAACGGCAAGGTATTGAAGGCACAGACGTACGGCATCTCGAGTATTAACGCAGCCTCCCGCCTCGTCATCTTCGGCTCGAAGCCGCCCTTGTAAAAACTTCGTCCCAGCGCGTTGACGCCACCTCGTGATCGTTGGACGGCTACGAATGCTGCGCGACCCTGTTCATCATTGATTAGCTTTGTAATATCTCAAACTTGGCTTTTTCCGTGTTTTCCACTCTCTTCTTTGAAGGGATAAGGTATCATCCACGTACGAAAAACGCAGTCGCGCCTAATCCCAGCGCAATGACCCACGCAGACGCCATCTTCAGATTCTCTTTGTATTATTTTCGCGACACAAAAGTCCTCGAAGGGAAGGATTGGAGATGGCAGGCGCTGTGGTCGTATGTCGACGCGGTTTGCGGGCTCCGGTGTCGTCGTGATTGAGGCTCGGGAGTCCGCAAAAGTTGGGATGGGCGCTAGAGTTGATGCGGTTAGCACGCCAAGTGTTCGCCGCCGAAATTCTAGTGGGCTGGTTTTCGCGACGTTGATATGAACTGCATCCCCTACAGTGCGACTAGAGAGAAGTAAGGAACGACGGCAAGATGAGGATTGAGGTATATTTGGCCATGGCTTCTAATATGCGCTTGCGCGATATAAACTAGAAGCCTACTCCTCATGGAATCAGAATACTAACTTCTCCATAGACCTGCCACTTCTGCTCGCACCCTGTGTACCCCAGTGAGTCTCCCCGACACGAAAGCTTGATCTTCTTCGCCCCAAGAGCCATTGCGGTCCTTCGAGTTATGTTGGAGGGCAATTTGGTCATTCCCAAGGGACACGAAGAAGAGGAGTAATAGGACATGAAGCGCTGACTGCAGGTTCTCTCTAGGCAAGGGTATCACATTCGTGCGCAATGATGCGAAAGCATTCCGCTTCTGGTATGTCTTCTTCAGTTTAGGTAGAAGCAGAGCTGACCTTTCCAAGCAAGAGCAAATGCCACAAGTCAGTCTAGCCGTAGCGCGAACAACGACGATACTAAATACGGCCAGAAACTTCAAGATGAAGCGGAATCCCAGGAAACTAGGCTGGACGAAGGCTTTTAGAAAAGCTCACGGAAAAGGTGCGAAGCTCAGACACATGCTCTGCTCAGTTTAGCCGCACGATGTGTCCATCTTTCCTCCAGAAACACGAGATAACACTTTCCGCAGAAATGACCGTCGACAGCACGCTACAATTTGCCCAACGCCGCAACGTCCCCGTCCGCTACAACCGCGATCTTGTTCAGACCACGCTCAAGGCCATGTCCCGTATCTCCGAGATTCGAGCCCGTCGCGAACGCGCATTCTACAAAGCTCGTATGCGTGGAAACAAGGCTAGGGAGCGGGCTGAAAACCGCAAGATTGTCGAGGAGAACCAGCATCTGCTGCCGCCGAGCGAGCGATGGGCAACGGAGAAGCTGGAGGAGCCTACAATGGATGTCGAGGAGGTCAGGCAGAAGATTGAGAAGCAGAGGAAGCAGCTGGAGAATGTGGACATGGAGAGTGATATCGAGAGCGAGCTTGGGGAAGAATTGCCGAAGATGAAGAACAAGAAGAAACTGAAGATGAAGGTCGGTGGTGGTGTGGAGGCCATGGATGTAGATGATTGAGAACACTACGTATTGGAGCTCGGCGTTCTAGGAAAACGGCAGCATGTATAGATTACGGCTTTTGATACCAGCATTCAGACCCCGATTTCTTCACCTTTGCCCACCAGAACTATGTCACTGTTGTGAATATATCAAGAATACGTTCAAGTACGAATTCGCATTGTGGAAAAATGCCATATTCCTCGCCTTTTCCGGTATGTCGAAAGGGCACTAGTACTTCTCCCAAAGGCAGTCTTCGACTGCTGTATTGCGTGGCATCGGTCGTAGCGTGCTGGGTATCTAGGACTCGTTCTTCTCATCTTCTCAACTACCTACAAGTTTCGACGCAAATATTCCTAAGAAATCAGCAAAAGAGATTCTCAATCTATCAGCTATCGTACTTTAAAGGAGTTGGTCATGAGAGGCCAATGTCATGGAGGGGCGGAACCAGTCACGTAAGTGCCAGAAAAATAGAAACGCAGCCTCAGAGATCAGACTTGGATAAAGAAGATAAACATCCTCCTAAACGGTAACTTACCAGTCTAGTCGTAGATAACACGACGTTCAAACTGGTTGTGTATAAGCTTCCAACTTTATCCAGCTGCCCAACTCAACCCCCAGCGTTATTTCCAACTTAAAATCCTCGCCTCCTTCAGATCCAGAATACAAGCGCATAGCACTAGTAAGTTTCCTTGGTGCTCTACCTAGTTTCCGATCCTTTTCTATTTCTGCAATTCTTACCTTACTCGCTTGCATACCGTTGAACAGCACTTCTCCGAGTATTTCTGGCAACGTGTCCAAGTCAGGCATCGAAACTAATCGCCTACCCTTGGTCGAACGGGGGAAAGACTAGGCCCAGGTTCGACGTCCTCTCTACTGGACGTTTGCCCAAGTGGTGGTTCAGAGGTTTGCGGTGCTTCGGTGGAATTATTAGACACTGCCTGGATCCGGTCTTCATCCAGAGGCCTTTGTTCGCGTTCCAGAACGCCCTCATTATCTTCATCTTGTACTTCTAGGGGCTCGGAACTCGATCCTTCGGTGGGCTTCATTGTTTGGAGCCGTTTATTTCGTTGCTTGTCATCGTTTATGAATCTAACAGTTACCACTTTGCGAGCGGCAGAGATACATGTAGTCTAATTGAATTCCTCCTACCAGCTGGCTCTGACTGCCTCTTCTTAGAACCGCCTTGTACAGTTGCAATCTCACTACCGCGAGGCAAGCTACTTGCGTACTGGCTGTGAATCCATTCCAATCCTTTGGGGTGCTCCACGTCGTCCCACCATGCGAGCAGCGCCCGGAAACAGTCGGTCTGGTCTAAAGGAGCAAGTTTGGTCGGAAAGGTAGCCAATGCGCACAAGATGAATACCTCTGGAATGTGCTTCCATATGCCGCTCAGGATGAGGGTACGCCCGCTTCTTTAAGAGATTTCGACACATGGAGTTATGATCCACCGCAATATACGCCGAGACTTTCTCGATGCGTTCAATCTGGCTTTGGGATAGAGGGATAAGGTGTTCAGAGAAGTACTGCCTTTTCTTCTCGAGCAGATTGAGCAATTTGTCGATTGTGAGAGGTTCTTCTGGTGGCATTATTCAAGAGACTGGAATAGTGCGAAGCAGAGTAATGCAAAGTAAAGCAAACTCAGAAGATCGAATGGCAGAGCAAGCTGGAGCTGAATGAGCTGAAGCCAGAAGAGTCAGTGGGGAGAGGCAGGGTAAGGCAAGGCAAGATAAGGCAAAGTGAGGCAAGGCAAAGTGGGCTAAACTACCGGAAGGTAAGCGAAAGAGTGTAAATTAGCACCATTTCACATTTCTCGGTGTTGCGTCGCGTCGCATTGCGTTGCTTGGTATCCTTACCGCCTTGTTTCGCTTTGTTTTTGTTGCACACCAACTCAACCTCTCCCTGCTGTAAAAATAGAACGCCTGCAGTGGAACGCTCAATCTATCGGCAAAACTCAAATGTATATAGGAAGCAATCAACAAGAAAGCCCAATTCAACACAACGAAATAATTCAACGAAAACTACCCAATTCCCGTGCCTCTTCCGCTACCATCTTTCACACGCAATACCCACGCCATCTGCGAACAGAGGACCAAGCGTCCCGCATATTAGATTGCTTGGTATAGTGGCACTGACTTTAATTACCTTCCCTTTAGACGTCTTTTATACGAGGGCGTGTGAGGATGAAAAGTCGCACCTGCTATATTTTGTCTAGGAAGTGATGGCGGACAGGAGCTCTCGTAGAACAAATAGTATTCTTACTCAGGGCGCTAAGCGGTG